AAAATAACCAAAAAGTGACTTGACAAAACTGAGAAGTGTTAAATATAGAGAAAAATGTTATGAAATGCGTGTGAAATTTTGTAAACCTTTTTAGAAATTATAAGAAAGGGACTGAAGCAACCAACTTAAGGTATCTTCCAATTTTTAATATAGGAGTTCAAATATGCCAAAATATGGTTATATTTAATCTGATTTGTATTTGAATTTAAACAAACAATTTACAATGAAAACAACACAATAAAGAATGGTGACTAACCATAGTTTCAATACCATCATCTTCAAACATTAAAAAACTGATACAGGTATGCCACTATTATTAGACATTAATACCAAGATTTTCAAGAACCCTGTCATTGAGGTCAGATTGAGTCTGTAGTTCCTGTCAGTATAATTCAAAACTACTTCTCAGATTTAAAAACCTGTCACTGATGTGACAGAATGTAGAAAGAACTAAGGCATCATTGAGATAAATCTTAAAAGGTATGAATATATTATAATTAAATGGTGTTATACCTTTTCTTAGCTTTTATAGTTCTATACTCTTTTCTCACCTTCTGACTGTTTCTTTTTCATCTAGTTCTCTCATCTTTCTTCTTCCTTTTTTTTTTTTTTTGAGTTGGAGTCTCACTCTGTCACCCAGACGAGTGCAGTGGCCGCTCCCCGCCACCACATCTTCGACCTGCTGGGCTCCAGCCATCCTTCTGCCTCAGCCTTCTAAGTAGCTGGAAGTACAGGCGTGCGCTAACATGCCCGGCTGATTTTTTGATTTATTGTAGAGATGAGGTCTCACCAAGTTGCCCAGGCGGGTCTCGAACCCGTGAACTCAGGCAATCCACTCACCTCAGCCTCCCAAGGTGCGGGATTACAGGCTGAGCCACCGGGCCCGGCTATGTTTCTTCTTTATATTTAACTGCTAATCATAGAAAACTGGTCTCCCTGCCTCCTTCCTTTGTCCTGCCTCCAAATCACATTTCATGAAAATAAAATATTTCCATAAAAATTAAATAAACCCTTCCTAGACTTTATAAAGCTGTGTTTGAAAGTGAACACCTCATTCCCTACTACTGGTATTTCTGATTGCTTGTTGTTGTTGTGATTATTATTTTTAATAAGTTCATTTGTGCATTTTTCAGTGTCTCAGTACTCAATATTCCTTTAGCTTTTCTTCCTCCTTAGAAAACATTTTCACAGAATCACCACACCTATACATTCTGCTTAAAAGAATGAAGGTAATGTCAAGGAAATAGAGAAGGGGCAGATTTCAGAGCTACTGTAAAGGGAAAAAGACAAAGTATTTTGCAACTGGCTGGATTTAGAAGGAGAAAGTGACAAAGAGTCAAAGATGATATTAAAGTATGTAAGACTAGAAAACTCTTGTACTGTTAATAAACATAGAGAAACTACAAAATGGAGTTATGTGGGAGAGTGTCCACCATTACTACAACATTGTCATCATAAACACAATTTTTAAGCACTTACTGTGTACCAGGAGTTCTACTAACCACTGCATATACTTTGTCTCCTTTGACTCTCAAAATACACTGTTGGAGGCATTATTAATCTCCAATTTAGAAAAGAAGAACATACGGCATAGAGAAAGCCAATCACTTTTCACAGACTCAAATGCCTTGAAAATGGCAAGTCCTTAAAAAAGACTTTTCATAGAATGGGAAAGAAGCCAGATTTTAGAGCATTAAAGAGGGAATAGAAAGTTATCAATAGGAAGCAATAGATATATGCAACTCATCTTGCGACTGCAATCCAGTGTAAGAAAGAAAAGAGAATTCTCATCTTCAAGTTAAGGTTTCCTGTCACAAGTAGATGCTTTTTTATTACCATTTTCATTTTTAAAGGCTTACAGAATGACATATAATTCAGAAACACTAAAAATAAATAGTGAAATGGACATGATAAGATAAGATAGTTACAGAATTCTAAACAAAATGTTGCATACAAGTGTGTAAATAATTTTTAAGGCTGGTTTACCTGCTTGATTTAAATATTACAGCTACCAAACATATAAGAAACCTGACCAGTTTACACACAAAAACATTGTCTATAAAATATAAGTATTCCAATAACACAAGAAAAGAAAACTCTTTCATGGCTTCAAAGTATGGAGTATCTTGCCTTATCTTTATAAAGTGAACAGTGAGTAATATGTTACTTTCCTGAATGCCTTGGCAGCGAATACAACAGTAAACTGTGTAAGGCTGATTTTGTATGGTGTTCCTCTGCTCAAGATAAAATTATAGCTATAAATGGCAATATAGTGAACATAATGACATTAAAACAATATGTTCCAAGTGTCCTACTTCAGTGTCACATAAATTAGATTTGTGCGTTTTTTTGTAAGTAAAAAAGATGTGATAGATGATAGATTCAAGAAAATGAGTTTATTGTTCATGTCAAAACAAAATCTTACACCAGAATTTATAGCCAGATCATGGAATTTAAGGTCTACATAAAGTAACATTGAGACTATAGATCCTCTTTTTCATTCAAGACTCTTATTTTGATAAAAAGGTTGAATCCTATTAATGACTATCTCTTGATTCAAGGCAGAAATAAGGTCTTATATTACTTTGTTCTTTTTTATAAACTGCATGGTACAAGAAAGGAGCTCTGGACTGATTTGAATCTCAAGAAATATTTATTGAATATTAACATATGATTGTTTTTCTTAGATTGCAAGATAAGTGGTGGTGATACATTTATATAAAATGAATATATATGGTATTCATTTAACAGTCATTAAATGGAAGTATAAAATTTGCATGTTGAAGATTCAAATGTTGCTATTATTTTATCTAAATTTAAATATTTTCTATAGAAATTAATAATGTATATATAGCTTTTATTTGCTCATTGCATGCAAGGCACATATGTGTATGGTTTATAAAGTCCATTTGCTGCTAGAAATTACTGGCTGTGATAGTAGAAACAGTAATGCAGGGAACATGCTGAAATAGTAATTGAAGTTTTAAAATGACTCTCCACTGTGATTCTGAACAAAGAATAGTTCTCATGTCTCATGGGTGCTTGGACAGAATAAATATGCTTTTTTCCAGACCGCAGCATAAATAGCAGTATCAGTGCACTGCACCTTTGAGAGATTTTTAATATAGCTGCTGTCTATGTATTGCATGGTTGAGTAATCAAGAAATGGTGATTTTAAAGGGCCCCAAAGTTCACACCGACAGCAAATTATGAATTAAAAGAAAAGAGCAATCCATAAATTAATATTAATGGATTTTACAAAAACTCAGACCATAATTCTTATTCCCTGAATAGGATATGTATACAAAGTATTTGCCAGTTTACAGTGGTGAAAACAATTATTCCTTTGTTGGAAATGCAGTAGATATTCAAA